GCTAAAACTATAAGACAAGTAGAAAGAAATTATAAATTGCATAATGACAACATCTGGATTTAGAAGTGCTGGATTAAATTTCTGGCTGTGCCATTGCCTTATACTTGTCATAAAGCACAACATTTTCTTCCTATAATGTAATCATATAACACTCATTATTGCTAAACTCACCATAAAAGTGACAATATGATTTTGAATTTATGATTTCTGAAGTGTTAGAAGCATTGTTTATGCACTGTTTATTTGCTCCTCTTTGGAATAGGCTTCCGTCTTCCCTTCTGGAGTGATTGTTATGAGTGCGTCCCCCAAAGCACGTTGTCAATCCCAACCCCTAGCATGTTGATGTAACCCTACTTGGGGGTGAGTGTTCTTTGTCAGGTTAATGAAGGCATATCTGTATAGGATGTGTCTTAAGACAATCCATTTGGGGATAAAGAAAGCGACTAGGCACAGAAGGAAGGAAATGCAATTGGGGAATCCAGATGTCGTGCCATATGAAGATGACCAAGGCACCAAGGGGGAGGAAATGAAGCAAAGGCCGTCTCCGAAAGCCCACAGACAGAGAAAGCGATGCCCCTAGATTCTTGACCTCCAGTCTTGACCTCTAGTCTCCTAGGAAAGGAAACTTCTGTTCAATAAAACTACCCATAATTCTGTTTTAGCAGCACTAGGAAGCTAAGACTGTAACGAAGAGGGATCTAGCCCCTGCTACAGTGGAACTCAGGGTCTCTTACAGTTATTGACGTCATAGAATATCCTGGAGATTCATACAGTTGTCTGATTCTCTATGCTGGGAAGGAGGGACGTGGGTTGTCTAAGGTAGATTACACTCTTGTACATTCCGTTTGAGAGCATTCAACAACTTTCGAAGTAGAAACATGTACAAGTTATTTCAACATTTTAGTTTATTCCTGGACTCTTTCTCCATGTTTTTTCTGGGTGCACACTCCCCTCCCCCACCCCCACCCCCCACAAACCATCTGTGTACCAGGCAAGTTTTCCGAGACGTAAAATTGTGTGAAATATGTCCATTCCACTTATTTAGAAAGAACTATGACTAATGATGCTGTGACAGAAACAGCATAGTTAATGAAGAAGCGCATTCTCTGTGCAAATAGCTGGGGAAGCTTAGCAGTTCTGGCCACGCTTTCGTGTCTTCAGGACCGTGATCCACCACCAGGGTGTTCTAGACTGCCCTCGAAGAGCCTCCCCACCTGTGTGAGCTGGACTCCGGAGACCCTGTGAGGTCAAGCATTCTGCCACTATTGAGTGATAATTGAAACAGAGCAATGCAGATTTGCATTCTACCCCATAATGTATCCTTGCTGTTGTTACTTAACAATGCTTAAAAGTCCTTTCCTGTTAATTAAAATGGACTTTAAAAGAAAAGGCACCAGATTTATCATTGCCTTTAAACACTCCCCTGGATTTTGCAACCGAGGCTTTGGGATTTTGTTTTAACTTGAGAGCATTCTCCCACAAGTATCCCTTCTTTTATTTTTGCTACCTGTAAACTCTTGCAAAAACAAAATGAACCCAACTGCCATGCAGTCCATTGTGACCCCTAGCGACAACGTAGGACAACGTAGAACTGCCTCTGTGTGTGTTTCGGGGACTGTAACTCTTTACAAGAGTTGATGGCAAGTCTTCCTCCTGGTGCTCTCGAACCGCTCACGTTATGGTTAGTAGCCCAACATGGAACCACTAAGCCACCAAGCCACCAGGGCTCCTAAACTCCTGAAATAAATTGAAATCTTTAGCTTTAAGCAATGAATGGGCAGTGTGTCCACAGTTAAAATAATGGAAGGGTGTAACGTCAGCTTTCACAATCATAGGTTTTCTGTTTGAGAGAAAAAAATCTGCCCAAGGTGAGATTTGCCTCCTTGCTTCCCTCTTCAGATTAATGTTGGAAAGCAAACCTCGATGTCATGAAACGTAATGGTTTTGAGGGTGGTGGGGAGGTGAGAATTTAGAAAATATGACCAAACAGCACGCTGGTCATGCTCACTTACGAGTACGAGAAGTGATTTATTTATACATTCAAATTTCAAAACATTTGTAAGGTCTACCATGTGTGCTGTTAAAAGGTTTTTAATTTTAAATTATTTTTGTTAGATAATCCCTTTTAAAGTGACATTATGATTTATTGCCAATAATCAGGATTCTGATCCCTCATAGACTTCTTGTTTGTATCTGTTTTCGTTCTTTGTTACATAAATATGAGGTTTATATATAAAATTCTGACTGTGTAATATCGGGCTAATGAGTCACAGATGGAAAGATGCTGGCACATTACCATCTAATAACATTTTAAACTCATATTCCATAGTAAAACAAAAGCAAATCGTACACATCTGTTTTCCAACTTGTAGCATTTCTGAATTTGTGTGGCGTCTCTGTTTAAAGGACTTTTGCTTGGGGAGGAGGAAAAGAGGATACAGTCACCCCAGTGCTACCCAGGCACAGAATGGCCTTATCAGAAAGGAGTTGGCGAAAAGGGATAAAATTTCCTCTGCTTTGTTTCCAAAGACGGTCTCGCGCGGCAGAGGCATTAGAGAGATGTTTCAACTACAAACGCGCCTTCACCGGCTTTCCTGAGAAAGAAAAATGTCACCCTAGTAGCGGGGAGATCGGGAAGCATATCTCTACAAAAATAACAAAATTGAAAACCTACATCCTTTCTGGGCTTTCCTAGATGGAAATAATCCTTAGATTATGTGTTAGTCTGGGTACTTTAGAGAAACAAATCCACAGAAACCCATGTATAAGAGAGTTTTATATAAAGGTTAAGTGTGCATCAAAAAAAAAACATGCCAACCTAGTGCTACCCAAGCCTACAAGTCCAACATTAACCCATATTAACCCAACACCAATCCACAAAGTCCTCCGTCTCACGAAGCAAGAGACCTGAGAACTAGAAAGGTGAGGCTCACCGAGCCATTTATCCCTCCGCCTTTCAATGAACCCCACATGTGTTTATGGGCCAGGTTGGCACAGTAAACTACCTCAGACTAGATCTGGGTGGAAGAAGGGAGAAGAAAGCAAGGTTTAGGCTCAGGTAGGAGACACCAAATGGAAACCTGAGGCCTTGTGTAGCTGTGGCTGTTGTTTATTTGTGTGGTAAACATGCTCTGTGGTAAAAAGGGGGAAACACTGGGAGGCAAGGCTCCAGTTGCTCCGATTGTTGGAAAGGAAATGGAGCAAAGGCAAACATTTCTCTCTCAGACCGACCCACTTGCTAGCGGTTATTGCAGTGTACCTTGTCTCCGAAACATCTCTCCCAAATCTCATTGGCCATGGAACTGAAAAGCACATTCCTGCTTGAAGGGGGTTGTGTGAACTGTCAAGTTCTCTTGGAAAAGTGACCTGACAGAAGTGATTCCTGCAGAGTGTGTCCATAATCCCCCAGCATGAAACCCCCCTGTTATGAGAGACAGATCTCACCTCCACCGCTCTGCACGAATTCCTGAAAAGGAGAGAACGGAGAGGCATCTATGATTGGGGAGAGAAATTTCGAGATGTGGGTGGTAAGATGATGCTTTGTGAAGCTTGCTGTATTTATTCTAAAGAACATTTGTGAACTGACAGCCAAAGTCTGTTCACTGTTGGTGTCCAAAATCAAGAATGAATACTTGTATTGTATGTCTTGAGTTGTCAGTAACCCAAATATATCAAGAGTGTATGTAGTTATCTTTATTTTGTACTAACATTTGTATGTAAGATTCCAGAAATGTTATACAACATGATTCATTAACTGGTATCACTAAATTGTGCACCTAAAACTTTTTGAATTGGCAAACACACACACATATATATATATATCACAACAATTTAAAAATATCTCTTCAGCATAGTAAGAAGTAGGAAATAAAACATCCAGATGTGTTAAGAGTTGCAGACTCCTTCTACTAATGTCTACACACAGCTCATTGATCGATTATCATGCTGCTGGGATGATTACAATGAGTTCTTGCTGAACACCTTCACTTCGAGAAATGGCTTCCTTGGGAAAAGCAAGTGTGTGGTTCTGTCTGCTGTGTTTGTCGAACTAGGCAGGCCTTAGTGCAGCGAAGAGGAGATATTAGGCACCTAGACACATGCATGTTTTGTTTGTCCAGCAGTGAAATGTCTGTGTGACGTTTTGTGTCGTGTTGTTTTGGTGCTGTGCCTCGTCTATAGGGTCTGCCAGGCTTCCCCACAGTTGCTGCTCTGCACAGTAATCAGATCCTCACCGTCAAGGTTTGTGGTTGGAATTCGTGTCTGCCCAGTCAGAGTCTGCAACCAGCATAAGAGTGAGCAAGAGCCATTAAATTGGCTTGCCTAGTCCACTGACTTTATCTGCTCATACACTTCAAGTTTGGGGGCATTGATTTGGCCACATTGATGTAATAAGGTGAGTCTGAGAACACCCAAGAGCAGGGTGTTGAGGTCAAGCAGGTACGGTGAAGAGAGGCCGCCATCAGTATCTAGGGCCCCAGCCTGCCTCAGGGGGTTTAATCTGCATGCACCCCAGTGCTCTGTGATGCATTTCAGTCCAATACATAGTCCTAAGTGTGCTGGACCTTGGGCATCAATCAAATGGCAGTTGGGTTCAGGCCACGTTGTGCTGGTTGAAAAGTCTGACGGGAATTGAACTGGTGCTTTGTCTCTGGACCATCTGCTCTGGGTGCATAGTACAGGGTGGTGGAAGCCTTCCCGCTGCTGTTCCTATACCACAGTAACAGGACCCAACATGGGCAGCAAAAAAGGATGGGGTGAAAGAAAAACAATTCGGTTCAAATGAAAAATCTGGGCTCCCCATCGGGTTTCAGGATCATAGGCCTTTCACGAAGATCCAGAGAGTTTGGTGTGAGACACAAGTGCCAGTTCTCTTTTGTTGAATGGTTATAATAAGCCTAATATGTCTATCTCTATTTCTTCCTTGGGACCCTCTGATGTCTATTCTTCAACTCTCTCATCTCTGAACTCCAACCTTTGACTTCACCTGACTGCTCGCTCAGATGGTGTTTCCTAAAATCAATCATGGGTTTCTCTCTGCTGATCAGCAGCTCATTAAACGCCGCTTGATTAAGGTAGTGCTTATCCTTGCTGACTTCTAATTTCTCCTTTGCATTTGGTGATGACTCTGGATACTGTTACTTTACCATTTGTCTCTCCTGGGTTGGGGGGAGGGGGCATTCATTTATTTATTTATTTACGAGGAAATATTTCAGCATGCAACTATGTGTATGACTCTGCATTTATATAAGATGTATATAAAAGTACCAAAGGAAAACTTACTTAATTGGTTCTTAAGTTAAAAAAAAAGAAATAAAGAAAACAATCTAAATTGGATTCAGTAATAGAGTCCATTTCTTAACTCTACAGCTCTGGTAATTTATAGACTATTACACCATATGGCAGGCATCTCATGTCCTTAATTTTATAGGCTATAAACAAGGTAAACCCAATTTGTCCAACTCTAAGTTGCCACATTTGACTAAGCAAGATGACTATAACCGAGGCAACATTGTCACAGACAAAGCTGTGCAAAAGTTTAATGTCCACGCCGACTGTAGTGATGGCCTTGAGAGCTGCCAGTGCTGGCATCCGGAGCAGCTTTGATGGTAACAGCATCTATTCCGCGCACCCAGCATGAATATGTATTTGCTCCCTGCTGGCAGGCAAATTGCCTACAGGCTTCATGTTTTCCATGTTCTGGTTCTTTTCAGGGTAGAAATTTGGATTAGATAACACACATTTAAAGTGTTGAAATGAAGAGCGGGGCCTTCATCCTTCATGGTCATCGTGGGTCTCTTTTCTTCTCCATCACAGGGTGACCAAGGACAGGCGGGACCTCCGGGACCACCAGGCCCACCAGGCCCCAGAGGTCCGCCTGGGGACACAGGGAAAGATGGCCCCCGTGGAATGCCAGGCGTGCCCGTGAGTTGCTCTGGGGACCTGTTTTCGTCACATGTTTGGCGTTGTTTTAAGGACTGAGAACTGGGATGGAAGTAGGTGTGGAGGAGTCACACATTTACGGGGTCCGTGAACTGGATGGTGAAGTGAAATGATGGGAAAACCCCAAAGGAGAGCAGGTCAGTCCCTGCAGGGCTCTGTCTTAGCACTTAGCCTATGAGGAAGCTACACTGGTCTTCAGGTAAACCTCACAGTGCTCCGGGTTGGCGATGCCTGATCATACCTGTGTTTGCCTCTAGGGAACCCCCAAAGCCTTTGGCGTGAGTGGGAGATGAGTTAGAAAACTTAGGAGGAATCCCAGTAACACTTTCCAAAAGGGCAACATCAGGGATAATAAATTTCCATATTGTTTATGGGAAGCAAAGGAACTTCACACAAAAAATGGTAACAAGAAATTTAAAACCAATTGTGAAAACACCGAGGGATATGGTTTGAATATCGTTTGTTCCTTGTATTTGAGTCCTATTAATAAACATGATCTAAAAGTGCTTTCAATGGTCAAAAGCTGCCCAGCACATCATATGTGAATGGAAGAGGATAAACATGTTTAGATTTACACAGTGACTTCAAGAGTTGAGACTGAGGCTTCCTGTGCACCTAAACAACTTCTCCATTTTTGCTTCATCTGAAATGCCACTCTTTAGTGCTGTTGTGGTACAAAAGCAATGCCGGAAGTACCTACAGAGTAAGAAGTTCAGAAACTAAAGAAAGTCAAAGAGAAGAAAATAAGTCACAGTCATTAAGGTTTTGTGTATATTTCTTCCCAGTTCCATGCCAATGCATAGTTTACCTATTTTTTTTCAAAGACGAGTTCTTTATAACAGTGTAGGATATTGAAAATGTCATCTGAGATAACCTTGTTCTATAAGCCCATTTCCCTTTCTGAATCACACCCCCCACAAAAAGAATCCCACTGCTGTGTCCATTCTCATTCCAGGTGGCTCTGTAGACATAGTAGACCTGCTCCATATGGTTTACAAGGCTATCGATAATTACAGAAGCACCTGCCTCCTCTTTCTCCTTCACAAGAGCTGCTGGGTGAAAACCATCATTAATTCAAGAGGACAAAGCCTTAAAACCCAAAACCAGAAACAAAACCTTAAAACCATTCTCAGACTCCATTTGTTGAAAATGCCTGCCCTAAGAACAAATTGTCCCTCTGTGCTGCACGTGAAGGGTCTGACATCTCCTAAAGAAAACATCAGCCATCACCTTTCTGTCATCGGCAATAGGACATACCATATGAGGCTTCACTGTAATTATAATTAAACCATTTTTAAGATCACTTAGTCACCTACAATATAATAATTTTGATTAGCTTTATTTATAAAGCACTGATGGCGCTGCAGTTAAACATCTAGCTTCTAACCAAAACGTTGATAGTTTGAACCTTCATACTCAGGAGCAAGCGCGAATGATCTGCTCCCCTGAAGGGTGGAGTCGAGAAGGACAGTTGCGCTTCCTCACCTGGGGTCACTGGGAGACGGAATCAACTCGATGCCACCCAGTCACGACAGCTACTGATTGTACTTGGACTGCGTTCTGGGCTTCATTCTGGCATCTCTGCTGGCTTCTGTATTTATCTTATTAAATAAGTGTCTCATATTATACATTTGAAAAACAAAGAAAATGAGCTCTCTTTTAATTGTGTCATGTTTGCGTTCCTCTATTTAGCCTGAAAGTAGACTTGCCGTTAACACGCTCCCAGTGGGTATTTTTGTAAAAAGAAAATAACCAAAATTGGTTATTAAAATTGATTTTCCATGTTTATAGCATTAATAAAATTATTCCTATGCTCTTTTAAGGGTGAGCCAGGGAAACCAGGAGAAGAAGGCTTAATGGTAAGTATTCAAAATTGATGTGCTTCTATATGCAAGACACTGAATGGACTGAATATTAAAAACTATAATTAAGACTGGAGAAAGCCTTCAGTGTGCTCACTGGGGATGAGATGGAGAAATTCAAATAGCATATTAGTACTGTAAGGATGATGCTTGGCTAATTGAAAAACCACATATCAGCTTTAATTAATGAGCCAATATGGACTGATAATGGACATTAGAAAAGTCTATGTTCTCTTGTCTCTGACCAGAGTCAGAAATGAACTTAGAAACAGCTTATCATTTTTAATGCCACAATGTAAACACCTTTGAGTTTTGAGGGGGTCAGAAAACTGCTGCTTATAGGCCCAATCTGCTGGCTACCAGTTGTAGCAGCTGAAGTTTCATTGAAGTATGTTCATGCTCATTTTCTTACATATTATTTCTGGCTGTTTTCACTTTAAATAACAGAGTTGAATAGTTATGACGGAGGTGCTATGACCTGCAAAGCAGTAAATATTGATTATCAAAGTTGCCAACCTTTTAATATAGTGAAGCATAGTATTAGTCATCTTAATAGCTTTATCACACTCTTAATTAATATTGGCTTTGTCAATATTGGTCAATAAAAGACCCATGATAATATTATATGTAAATATAATATTATGAGTATGTGTATTATTTCAGATTATGTGTGTCAAAGTATCCGTCATCCAACCTGTAGTGAAAGAGCGAAAGTAAGAGTCAAAAATATTAAGAGCCGTGTAGCACATGCTACAGTCAAGAGCTACATATGTACATCACCAAGTCTTAGATGAGGGGAGAGATGGAGAGACACTGCGAAGGGTCAAGGGGGGCATTTGAGTTTGGCATCTCTGCTATAACTGAAAGGAGCCCTCTTTGTTAGGGATTTGGATGTTAACCACAAAGTCAAAGGTTCAAACGCACCAGCCACTTCTGGGTTTTCTGCTCATGAAAAGAGTTTCAGTCTTGGAAATCCTTTAGGGGCCGATTTGAGTCCAAATTGACTTCATGACGGTGCGTCTGGCTTTTTGTTAGAAATGTAAATCCGAAATAATCAAACCTGCTGCCGTGGGGCCCATTCTGACTATTGCAGCGCCGTGACTGTAAGATAGGTTAAATTCAAGGATATGCTCATTAGCAGCTTAAGTAGAAATTTCAGGGAATAAGCTTTATTTAAATTTTCTTTTTAAAGCTACATCATGGTGAAAGTAGTACACAGGGGCACAAGAGTTAGTGAGAGACTTAAAATGAAGGAGTAAACTGGTTTAAGGTCAGAGGCTTCTTCCTGAATGGAATGCCTTTCCACAGCCCTGTGAGAGCTCAGAAGGACCCTCCTGACCTGTAGGTGTAAGCTGCCTTTGCAAGGTCACTAGTGAAGTGAACATTCTCAGGAACTAATCTGCCTCACCATGTGGATATTCCCTGTTCCTGACCTGTAATAGATCATTTTTTGTACAAACTTTTTTCTTTCGAATGATGGAAAAACGAAGCACAAATGTGTCACCAGTGATAACGCTACATGTTCAGCAATTAGCGATTAGTCACAGCATGACTCCAGTGTAAGTTTAAGCACATGAGTGCACCTGTACTTTCTATCCTGGATAATGGTCAAAACATATTCCTTCTACACATCCTGCTTAGCTTGAAGGCTTTGCAGAATTCTCAGGAGCCCATATTTGCCTTCAGATGTGGACAGGATAGTTAGATTTTTATCGTGGCATTGGCTGTATGCCTTGATGGCAGACAAAACATCCTCATTTGCACCGTTGAAAAATCAAATGAATATAGATCGATGCTTAACTTATGTCATGACCTTCCTTGGATTCACATGATTTGGATTCATGGCGACCCCATGAATGTAGAACCACGTTCCATTAGGTTTTGAAAGGCTGGCTTGTCAGCAGTAGATCCTCAAGTCCTTTCCCAGGTGTCTTCAGTGGACGCCAAATTGTGTAGTAACTGCCCCCATCACCCAGGGGCCTCACCTATGTCATACTCTCTTACTCACTGCCATTGAGTCGCTGCCTCATAGTGACCCCTGTGGATTTCCAAGACTGTCACTGTTTACTGGAGTAGAAAGCCTAGTCTTTCTCTTATGGAGCTGCTGGTGATTTTGAACTGCCGACCTTGCAGCCTAATGCTTAACCAATTCACCACCAGGAATCCATTTTCTGGGATATACCATATACATCACAAAATAATCCCAGTCTTCTACAATCCTTAGCTTGCTGTCATTAAATATAAATGCTCTGTAGTCCTAAAAGAATGATATCTTTAGTGTACTCTCTCAAAGGTAAACCTGGGGACTTTATTTTCCTATGAAATTTGTCTTCTAAATTCTGCAGATTTAGTTCAAGTCCTTATTCTCATGATGCAGCTAAGAAACGTAATTGGGAATACAACTGTTCGAAGGGTGAGTGTATGATCATGAGCCTCTACAGGGAACTGAAGTGTTTTTAAAGTTACAAAACCCTTTAACCAAAAAACAAAACCCTCTAATAAGATAAAGCAAATTAGACAAATCATAAGCTCACAACTCAGTGTCATTTCACAAGTAAACAACCATCTCACTACAAACCAGATCAAGAAATGAAACATTATCACACCTTAGATAGTGTTTCCCATGGTGGGCAATACCACCCCTGAAATGGATACCAAATTCCATGCCATCGAGTGATATCAACTCATAGTGACGCTACAAGAGAGGGCAGAACTGCCCCTGTTGATTTTCAAGAATGTAAATCTGTACAGGAGTAAAGCCTCATTTGTGTCCCATGGAGCAAATGGTGGTTTTGAATCGCTGACTTTGAGGTTAGCAGCCCGACTTGTAACCACTATCCCACCAGGGCAGATACTTGCACTTTGGGCTATAGTACAAAAAGTGCTAATTGCCAGGGGGAACCTGAAAAGGGGATGGTAAGCCAAATAAGTTTGGGAGGGAATGCCATGAAAGGAGCCCTTATAGCTCCCCAGTCACAAGGCGCCCCCCTTAGGTTAACTCCCCCTTGTCAACTCCTCTTCGGACTCTATCACTGGTAGATTGCTCCTACCAGATTTTAATTTTATATTAGTCGGATCATTCTGTATGTACATATTTAAGTCTGGCTACTTTCACTGTACATTGTATTTGTGAGATCATCCACTTCTGTTTTAATAGCCTTTGCAGCTGGTTTAAAAAAAGCCAGGAGGAAAAAACTTACTTCCTTGATTGCCCTGTTAAAACTACATCACTTAGATAATAATGAATGAATTGTCTGTCTGACCTTGGGCAAGTCACTTAACCTCTTAATTTCTCATCTGTAGAGAAAGGGTAGTAATACCTACTCTGCTTGCCTTATAAGATTGACAAAGACAAATGAATTAGGGGAGAGCACTTTAAAATATACAATGAAGAAAGACAGGAGTGTGTTCTTATTATTATCACTCAATTGTTCTCTCTAGAGTCAATTACAGGTGAACACCGATTTATATAACATATGTATTCCTACACAGTTCTGTATGAATCAAATTTTCATAAACCCCATAATTTAAATGTACTGGGCAATTTTGCTATTGAGAGCAACCTTAGTCAGGCTTTTTGTGAGGCAATATAGACCTCGAATTCCTCTTCCCAGTAAACTGAATTTTTACCTCTTCTTTTTACTTAAGATGAAATATATCTATCATTTACAAATAAATCATTAAAAAATCATTGTTTAATTTTGAGTTGCACCTATGTACATTTAACCCATCTCAAAGACAAAGGAGAAAACCTAAAACTATAAATATAAATAGTTTTTAAGAGGAGATATATTTCCTTAGAAATTTTCATTCAACTATGAACTGTGTGTGTGTGTGCGCACTTCAACTCCGCGTCTGGTTTCAGAACTACTTAGGGCTGTATTATATTTATAGGAGTTATGGTGGTGCCTGGTGGCATGGGTCATTATGTGTTGGGCCACTAACTGCAAGGTCAGCAGTTTGAAACCTCAAGCCCCTCTGAGGAAGGAAAATGGGGCTTTTTACTCCCATAAGGAGTATGGTCTTGGAAACTCACAGGGGCAATTCCGCCCACTCCTGTAGGATAGCTCTTGAGTTGGCATCAACTGGATGGCAGTGAGTTTGGTTTGGTTGAGATATATTCCTATAGTCTGACTCTTTCCACTCATTTATAAACTGTAGGTAGCAATTGTTATTCTACATCACTGGGTCCTAGTGACAAGCAAGTGAAATAACAATGCTATGGAAATGCTTTAGGAATGACAAAGCATTCCAAGAATGTGAAATATTACTGTTAAAACAATTGTTGGGTGGGATAGCAGGGCACACAAATGCTACTCTGTGTAACAAAAGGACTAAGAAATCTGACAGTATCTATCAATTCAATCACACTGTATTAAATACTGCCACTGATAGTGCAATTCATTTCTTTTATCTAATACAGAGCTTTGCAGGCGTTTTCTGTCTCTTGTAAATGACATTATATGACCAGTTTTTCATAGCACTCAGGACTCTCCTCACCCACCAGTTATTGAAAAGGAGTAATAAATACCCCTGCTTTCATCTTGTCCACAGTATATAAAGCCGTTTGTCAGCTTATGTCATGTTTTGCTGGAGTTTGTTGTTGTTGTTTTGTTAGCTTGCAGGAGAGTTTTGAGAGGCCTGAGAGCATTTTTTTAAAGTTTTAGTCTCTGATGATGAAATGAAAAAGCCGGGAATGGTCTAAAATTAGCTCTTACAAAATGTCATGAGTGTGTCAGGTGGGGAATTAGTTTCATAATCCAGGAAATATAGTTTATAATGCAAAAATAATCATCTGAGGATTAGCAGCCTTCATGCTAGAATAAGAAAGTAAACCTGCAGCTCAAACGGTTCCACATTTATCTAATCCGCTATGCGTCTTTTCTGTAAACATGACCTTGGGTTTTTCAGAGAAGTTCAGGGTGGGATTTTAAAAGACAGGTCTGGGGCTTAACTAAATTGGTCCCCATCTAAATAAGGAGAGAACTCCTCTATCT